CCGTGGGGGGGGGGGGGGAGGCTCAGCAGCCGGGGGAGTAAAAGCCGTCTCCCCTGCGGAGCTAGTTTTCTGCTTGCTTGGATTGGTTTGTAACGCAAGCGGACGTTCCTCATTGGACTCCGGTTTCGGTCCGTACGTTGTCACCATCTCATTCTCTTGCATTTGTTCATTCGGGCTTTCCTCCCGCGTCATCGGAGCTGCCGGCCAAGGCGTCCGCCGCCCGAAAGTGCTTTGTCACCTGGCTGTGTCACTGTTTTCACACGCGATCGCCGGCCTGGCCAGGCTCTCGCGTGCCTTCCTGCAGCCGAAGGCGGTGCTCGCCTTTTTGCGCAAGGGGCCAGTCCCGCCCTGGCCGTCCCGCCCTCTTCTTGTCGGGCAAGGCAGCGCGTGGCTGAGATCCTGGGCGAGATAGCTTTCTGGCGCGGCCGGGAAGGAGGGGAGGGGCGGGGCAGGATGCAAAAAGGCAGGCCGGCGACGCGGAGGGAGGCACTCCGGCGCGGCGGAGTAAGGGAATGCGTTTAGCCCGCACAAACATGGCTGCTGCCTTCCGAACTGCGAGCCGGGCGCTGCACCCGTGTGAGTGGATCCGCGTTGTACAGACCTCGTTGCGAGCAATGCCTAATATTTGTTCTTTTTGGCTGACTTTGCGTGCGTGTCGCTTCCCCGCGTAGGGTCTGGGAACGGGGGTTGCAGTCTTTAGCCATTGGGCTTGGGAGCTGCCAGGGGGTGTGTTTGAAACCTTATCCCGCGTTGCATTTTCTGGTTCTCTCCTTCCACCCCCGCCTCTTTTCTTTTCCAAAGTGGGTTTGGGGGCTCGGTGAACGCTGCCCCTTCGGGGGCTTGATCTTCGCCGGGGGTGCTTGTAAGAGGGAGTCTTGCAGGAGCGGAGAAGGGGGCTTTATGCAACCGCTTCTCTTATGTAAGGGGCTTTCGGTGCTGCTTTAAAAACAAACCTCAAAACAAATTGCTTTTCCATGATTCCATGCTTGGAAGAAGCATATTGAGGAGGGGGGCTGCTAGTGGCTTTGCAATCGGGTTTGGGGAAATTGGCCGCATTGTTAAAACACCCCCCCCCTTCCTCGCCACGCCCACTTGAAAGCCAGGGCGCAAAACTCTCTGCTAGAAAACGCTTCTCCTCAACCGATTCGTGGGCTGGAGGGCAGAAAAAACTCCCCCTTCCCCAGGCAGCCTGCATGAGAGGGCCCCCTCTTGGGGCGAGGGCAGGCAGAAATTTCCCCCCCGGGTCTCCGTTTCCACGCAACGCCGATCCAGTCCGACTGTGTTACGCAAGTCAATCGCATGGCTGGCACAGGTCTATGCCCCCCCCGTCTCGGTTTTGTCCCCCTTTCTTGGCAGATCTGCCCCCACCCGGGCCGAGAGGGTGAGATCCTCATTGTTCCTGCCAGGGTCTCGTTACACAGCGTGTCTGTGGCGGGCACAGTCGTTGCTG